TATATCATATATACAGGCATACACGTACATACATATGTACACATATATTTTGTTATGCCTAGGTCAATATTTCCGTTTCGAAGAACAATGTTGTAATAATGCACAATTCCGGTTCATTTTATAATAAAGAAAATATTAGAAAAATACTGTTTTTTACTATAGAGTTCGACAAAAGATCTTTCTGAAATTTCTCTTTCAGTTATCATTTTGATTTGAAACTGTTATATTTTCCAAATTGTTTATACTCCATCTGCTTACGCAAATGTAAGAAGTGAAAGGGTAGCATTTTCAAAAAATATATTTTTCATAAAACAAGTAAAACCAGGTTAGGATTTCAAGTCACGGAATACTTGCTGTAGGTTTTCGCAATAACCTTAATTTATAGGATACTTTTAGTAATTATTAAGTTCGGAATAAAAGTCTCGCTTTTCAAACAAAGTATAATAATGTTTTAAATTCTTTTATGTCCTGGTAGCAAGCATAATGTCCTTTTTTTTCTATTTCTATATCGACCGAAAAATTTGGTGATATCGATGCTTTATTGTGGTCTCCAAATGGGAGAACTAAACCAAAGTAATGAAAAATAAATATATGAAAAGATAATGAAAAATAAATATATTTACATGTGTATACATTCTTTTTTTTTGTTTATGGAACATTAGAAATCGTCGCTCCTTTACCAAATTTGTAATGTGGAAGTACTTGTAGCTTTTTAGGTTTTGACTGAGGACTGGCGTTAAGTACAGATTATACAGACACGAGGATTATATATACATTCTTTGATACTATGAATGCTTAATGGTAATAAATCACAAATCCCTGGGGATAGAATTTTTATCACCTCACGACATCAGAAAGATTATAGCCATTAGTCTGTACTAACCCTAGCCCTACTAATCTTGCTACTAACAGTATGCACAATGTGTCACAAGACCTGAGGGAAGCAGATTGCAGCACCGCTTTATTCTTAATGATGGTGACTGCTCATGCTCAAGTACTCATGATATAAAGAGGGTGCAACATTTAACCCCTTTTTATATAAANGCCTAGGTCAACATTTTCGTTTCGAAGAACAATGTTGTAATAATGCACAATTCCGGTTCATTTTATAATAAAGAAAATATTAGAAAATGACTGTTTTTTACTATAGAGTTCGACAAAAGATCTTTCTGAAATTTCTCTTTCAGTTATCATTTTGATTTGAAACTGTTATATTTTCCAAATTGTTTATACTCCATCTGCTTACGCAAATGTAAGAAGTGAAATGGTAGCATTTTCAAAAAATATATTTTTCATAAAACAAGTAAAACCAGGTTAGGATTTCAAGTCACGGAATACTTGCTGTAGGTTTTCGCAATAACCTTAATTTATAGGATACTTTTAGTAATTATTAAGTTCGGAATAAAAGTCTCGCTTTTCAAACAAAGTATAATGTTTTAAATTCTTTTATGTCCTGGTAGCAAGCATAATGTCCTTTTTTTTCTATTTCTGTATCGACCGAAAATTTTGGTGATATCGATGCTTT